CTGTGTTGCAAAAACATGGATCAGTGTTCAGCTGCCTGATCTTGTGTAGAACAGAAGAGTTGCCTCATTTGCTGGGACAAAAAAATCAATAGAGGCAGGGGGAGTTCCCTCTGTCTTCTCAAGGGGGCAGTTTTTGTTCTTAGCCTTATTCTGATTGAAAGAGGAAATGCTCTTGACATAATTGCAAAAAACAGCAGCAAGTTGACACGAATCCTACTATTTCTTACTGGAGTACTTCATATTTAACAGTAGTCAACTTTGGAGACTTGATAATTAGAGGAGAAATTGATTGTTTGTGTTTCTTGTTTAGTCAAATGACTTTCTTCGGAATGTGTTTGAGCTTGGTCCACCAGTAATGCTAGATGCTGCCACTCTTAAAACAATGAAGATATCCCGTTTTGAAAGGGTAGGTTATTGCACCTTAATGAATTTTCTTTGCTTCATACACTAATACATTTCTGCTGCACTTCAGAAGCTGTTATCGTTAAACTTGTTGCTTTAGTTTTATCAGTGCCTCATTGTCCTGAATGAAACCCAGCCTTGATTGTATGTGCCTTTGAGCTCTTAGTTAGGTTTTCCACTGGGCATGTGTCTGCTCCTGCTTCTCCCAAGGGTCTGAAGGTTCACATGGTTGCTGATTGGTACCAGATTCACACTCCACACATGTGAAACTTGGTCTCTTTTGACAACTGCAGTTTTTCAGGGAGGGACCTACAGGAAACCATGGAAACAGAGTCTTTATAAAGACAGTATCCCAAACTCTGCAGTGTAAAATGGGCACTAGGAGGATGACTTTGGTCTATTGCTTGTGAATGTACTCATCCTGCATATAATTTGAGCAGTGGTGCTACCAGGTTTAATCTAGGGGTGAATTTAACCTACATTGTGTCTGTATGATGTTCAAAACTGGCAGGCTTCCAGAATTGCTTGTAGCTCAGTCTTTCTTATACAAACCAAATTTCTTTTAAATGTATGTATATGTATGAAAATGAATCAGCCTTTGGTGCAAGGGTAGTATGCTATAAATTTCTGAAAGTCTACCAATTTACTTCAAAAATTAATAAAAAGATATTTTCATCTGTTTTGTAACATGAAAAATCTCTGAAGAGCATAAGCCTTATGAACATCTGTAATAAATTTTTCTTTTTTTATTTTGTAGCACTTGTACAACTCTGCAGCATTCAAGGCTCGGACAAAGGCTAGAAGTAAATGTCGTGATAAAAGAGCAGATGTGGGGGAATTTTTCTAGATCTCATTTTCAATGGGGTTCAATTTTTAAGTAAAATAAATTTGTAACATTTAAATGAATTTTTAACTTCTGTAGTCATAGTTTGCACTTGTGCACAAGGATGTTATGTAAAGTCTGTAAATATAATAATGCATGTTGTTGCTTCATTGCATATACACTGTATATATATTGATGTAACATTTGGAGCAGGGATACATTATATCATTTGCATTAGCCACCAGTTGCTCCAAAGGTTGAATATATTTTAACTGAAATGTTAAATGGGGTGGATAACTGTAGTCAGATTGGATTCTTCATATAAAGGTAAATTACTTTATAGATCAAGTGTTTTGGTAAGAATGTGCTAATATGAAAAGATAACCATATTTGTGTGAAATTGAGTAACTTTTTAACTCTTCAATGGCAGATGGACAAAGAAATTTTTATGTTTCTATGACTTTATCCTGACAGGGACTATGAAGTTTAATAACCTCTACTGACAGACAAGTAGTGAATGACAAATACTTGCCTCAATTTAAAACAAAAGCAAGATTTTTGTGTTCTGAAATTGGATATTTAATTTTTGCAATAAAGATGTTTCTCACTGGTTGCGCTCTGTGTAAAAGTGATTATTTCATGATTGAAAAGCTGCAACAACAGCAAAACCTAAAGGCTGAAACAGATGGGTTTGGTTTTTTGCCCATTCAGACGTGGTTGTGTTAGTCTCAGAGGTTTAGTAGGTGCTACATGACGGTCTTTCTTGCTGTGTTTCAAAGGTGTATCTTACTTGCATGTGGTCTTGCACAACAGCCTACTCCTCATTTGTCACTGTTTTTGTAATAGTCAAATGTTTTCTAGTTCTGGTGTTGCAAAAGACCTCATCCCTTATCTTACAGGAGGCCCTTCCAGCTCCCCTGTGTTTGTAATGTTGAAAGCTATTCCTCTACTACATTCTCAAAATGGTAGGTCAGGCTACCAGCAGAGGAAGTAAACCTTGCATCAAAAAATCTCACCAGCCCCTGAGAACTGCTACTTGCTCTGATAAGGGAAAGTTTGTTTTGGGGTGGGGTGGTTTGTTGGTTAGTTGGTTGGTTTTGGGTTTGTTTTTTTCGGAGGGGTTTGGTTTTTTTTGTTTGTTTGTCCTCCCTCCTTCAAGTTTCTGGTTACAGCAGAACCTATTCCAGAAAATTTATATAGACAAATGAGTTTTACCTTCTAAGTTATCCTTTTTTCCCCCTCAAATAATCAATTATGTAACAACTTGCTTGGCTTACAAAACTGATCACTGACTCCAAATCAAGGCCTTCAACTGAAATCTGCAGTCTGATGAACATGTGTTGTCAGTGTCACACAAGTGAAGAAGAAACTTCTGATCCTTGAACTAGAAGCAGCTGTCTGCTTGTGTGTGCCCAGACCAAGTCTGTCCCCTTTCAGTTAAACTGTTCCCTGACCTCTCCTGTGGCTTCTGGGTAGTCACCTTTGGCATCCTTTGCCCATGTAAAGGAACACTTTTAATAGTTTCCTGTCCAGTATTTCTACAGCACTTCCTGGCAGGTGGCCAAGCATGTGGTTGCCCTTTCCCCTGTTACATGGTAGCTGCCAACCATAGTGACCAGGATGGCTTCCAGGAGATGTTGGAGGAAAGACAGGCTGTTTTGCTGCCCTGCAGAGATCGGGTGGGTTTGTAGACCTTTTCAAGCTTAAAACTGGAGAGGCCTGGGTCTTTGTCCTACAGTTATGTTGGTGTCAGGACTCTTTTGGGAATGGAAGTGAGGGGGTTTTTTTCTGGCTTGCAGATCCTTATTTAGAGGAAGGACTTCTTGGAGACTCCCACAGAAAAGTAGTGAGCTGTTACATCTGTGTTGCTGTCCCAGCCACTCAGACTGGGCAGTGGCAGAGCTTCACAGAGGAGCTATAAGTCAGGTTTATTCTCTCGGTTTCCTGGAAGATGTGTTTGTCAGTTTAAAGGAGTTCAGAATTTTAGGCATAGAATGGCTTCAGAAAGGATTTATTATTTTGAGCTGCAGTCCCTCTGTATAAGCATCAGCTGCCTGTCAGTGCAGCATGCTGTAACATTACCTTCTGCAACATCAGCAAGGAAAAAAGTGATCAAAAGAACTGTTGGCAAAGGAGCAATTACAGTACTCACCAACAGTTCCTCAGAATTTAATCTCTAAACAACTAAGGATGGCATATAAATTAGTCCACCCCGTGATAATGTCCCACTTGAATTTGTAAGGCATATGGGAGAAGGAGGAAAAGACCTTGGTTTTTCTAGTATATGCCTTTAAAATACCCATGACTACAATACTGTAGATATGACTCTTCTGCATAGCAAACCGGTTGCTCATAGCTACAGTGTCATAGATTTGACTCTTCTGCATAGCAAATGAGTTTTAAACAGGCATTAAACCTAAAAGGTTTGGCACTAACTGAAAGGTCAGTGAAATATTGATCATTAGTAACAAACCTCATTCTCCATGACAGGATATTATCATGACTCCAATATAATAAAAAAGAGCTGTGTATGTGCTGATTTCTTTTTTAGCAGTTCTGTATTGTGGAGTCAGTACACTTAGCCAAGTTGAATGCTAAATATAGACTGAAAGGGGCAGTCTGTTTCATAGCTGTCTTTATGGGTCCTGCAGGACTCAACAGGTTCCTATGGGTCTAAAAGTAGAGAGAAGAACTGCAGAACAAGTTTTCTTCATGTGATTTTCACTGGCTGATTTCTTCCATACTGGCACATTAACTGAATATAATTATGTCGTAAGTAATGTTTCATTCTGCTGGGTTTTAACCTTTTAGATTTTATTTATTTTTTTTTCTGTGAAGAATTTTCAGTGTGTTCTCATTCTACATTTTAATTTTACCACAACAGCTTAAAAAGAAATTTAAAAGTCGGATTGGAGAAAAAGTCTTTAAGTACAAGATAAAGTGAATCTCAAAACCTCAGTGTTTACATTAGTTTGTTGGGAAAATAATCAGTACTTTTGGCCAGTGACACTGATGTATGTATCCTTTCTCCTTTGTTTGTCATGTCAATGGAATCAAACAAATCTAGTATAAACTTTGTTGCATTAATAATGGTTATCTTCCCTGTGGTTACATGCATAAATGCTTAAAAATTAACAGTAAATGCAGAAACATATAATTCGTACTACTAATGAATCTTATTACAGCTCAAGTTGTTAAGAAGAGTCTTCCCTGAAGTTGCAGGGAGGTACTAATCAAAATACCCAAGAGAAACAACTGCTCTTCAGAAGCTAAAAATAACCAAAAGCCTTTGTGCACAGGGTGGTAACTTTCAGCATGCTGTTCAAATGCAGGGCTCTGTAGTGATTGCAGTTGGCTACGGATGTGCACGTGGGGAGAGAGCAGAGCAGAGGCAGTGCTGGGGGGAACGTGGTTCGCAGACTGTGCTGCCTGGCACCACCTAATGTTCTAGAGGAAGGACAGTGGACACAGCCATCTGTCCTGAAGTTACTGCTGCACACCTAAACGTCATATGCTAGGTAAGGCTAACCCCTACTATGCCAGCTTTTCTACCTTTTCTTTATATTTTGAAGCAACAGGTCTGAACAGAGTAAAAAAATAAGCTGTAATCTTTTCTTACATGCTATTAAACAGAAATATGAAAGTATCCATGTAGTCCTGTCAACCTCCACTAGCAGAAGAACAAGCCCCATTGTCAAGAGTGCTTTAAGTGCTTAGTCTTCAGACTTATTGAGGCAAACACTCAGGGCTTTATTTCTCAGACTTTAGGTTATAAAGTTTAGGTTATAAAGGTTAGTGCTATATTAGGAATCTGGTCACACTGTGTTCTGTATTGTTCGGAGAAGGAAAGAAAGCTCAGAAGCACATCAGGAGGGCAGTTCAACCCATCTAGGATTCAGAAATCACCCTTAGGTGCTTAACAGCCTTCATCAATAAGAGGTTTGCATCCCGTGAAGTGCTGATTTATGTTGGCAGGTAAAACTGAACTTGGGAGCTTTGATAAAATACTAAATGGTAAGATGTATTCTACTCCAAATCTAAACTAATCTCTGTGAGATTACGTTCACTAGCAAGAACATTTAGGCTGCAATTCTAAGTTCAAAAGGATGTATCTTAGAATAAGAGGAATATTACCTGGAGGAATGTATTTTTCTTCAATAATTACAGAGGGAGTTTTCAGTGACAAGTGTAGTCAAACCTGCCTACTTAGAGCATCTCCATCTCCTTATGGCTAGAACTGTTGTTTGTTTCTAGGAGGCATTTTTGGAATCAGAGTTGCATAAAGAAAACCAAAAGACTGATAAGGAATAATGTGCAATTCACAGAGGAGCCTCCTTAGGTATTGCTTCTTTTCTATATATATTATTCCTTCAAAACTGTATTTATATAAAAAATCATTCACTGAGTTCATGCACTCAGACTCTACAGAGAAACTGCTTTTGCAGTTTGGGCCTCATCCAGTGCTTTTTTTAAAACAAGGAGTATTAGTCTGAAGAAAAGGCTTTGCCATTAACCTTTACTTTGTCCAGAATTTGTCCAGTTTAGAAGACTAATTTTTCTATTCCATTTTTCACAAATAATAACTTCACAGTATTATTCTAAGGTATATAAGCAGACAGATATTCTTGCTGCTTATCTTGTATACCCATACCTGATTTCTCTGTCTTATCTCTAAATTATTTGATGCTGAAAGCAGAGGACCTGAGTGACATCCTTCCTGTCAGTGAAGGTTTGTCTTTCACTGTTGTCAGAATCTCACCCTACCTCTTACCTCACCAAACCAAATGGCTATACAACTGAGTGAGTACCATTCAAATCAATGCTGGAGCCAATCAGGCTGATTTTTCTCTCTCTTTCCCCACACACATGTATGCATAAGTATACACATGTGCACAAGCACAATGTAGAAATTAAATGTGATATTCATCAAAGATCTCCAAGAATAAACAAGTGCTATGTACTGAGTTATCCTTGCCTTCAAGTAAGTGTGCTGGTCCTTCAAATTCCTTTATTTTGAGGGTTGTTTAGGCTGCTCAGTGTTTCCTTAGAACAGGACACCAACTGTTACCAGTTATTTCCCATATCCATGTGTTAAATTACCTTTTAAATTATTTACCTTAGATACAATGGAGAGGCCTTCCTTGGAAATTAACCTGCCTGATACGCATGAAGAAGGAAAGCTTTATGTAGTTGATTCCTTAAACAACCTAAACAAGCTAAATGTTTGTCCAGATGAATCCCAGCATTCACTAGGTAGGTATGATAGGTTATGCTCTATGGTTTTCCATATACACAATCCACATTATGTGTCACTGATGACAACAGGCCAATATGTATGTCAAGCTCTTTACTGAAAAAAATGTAAGAAAAAGATTGAAAATGGCCTAATTTAGACAGATAAGATAATGATTTAGCTATCCTTGCTGAGTATTTAAGTTATTAGGTTCTTGAAAATCCTTGCATTTTGCTAGGGATTCACTGTCAAGACTGAACTTATTTTCCATCTCCACTGGGGTTTATGAGGTGATCCCTTGCAGGATAATGTCTCTAGTAATGCTCAACATACACCTACTACATAAATAGCATTGTAACTCTTTCCAAGCACTAAAATTCACACATGGCAATAGAAGTACCAGAGAATTTCTGTTCATTCCTTTAAGACACATCTCCTAGATTCTCAGACCAGTTATCTGAAATATCCCATGACACTTTTAAGCATTTTACTTCACAGACTTTCTTTACTTATAGTTTCAGATATGACTTCTACTGGTTTAATATTATTTATTAAATTAATTAACAAGAATATTTTTACTCATGATAACTACAATAACTACAATATATTTCAGTTCTTTGTGACCTGAAAATATCTTAAAACCTGGAGCTCTTCAGCAGCATTCCACATAACAATATTTGAATCTGCTTTTATTTCCCTTATTATAATGGCAAATTTGGCTGAAGAAATCTAGAAATGAACAACTATGAAATTAGTTTCAAATGGCCATAACTTAATCATGCTTCTTGTTATGGAACTTAAATGTCTTCTCCTTACATCTGTTTCCAAGTCCTCTATATTTTCCTAATGCAACTCGGTTGCATTAGGTGTTGGTTTCTGCATTTAATGCAAATATGTTAGACATAAAGTACTTAATTCTCATATGTAGATTATCTTGATATTGACACTCTGTAAGTAAAAAATGAGACAATGGCATACCTTGGTTTTAATGTCAAAGAAACTCCTTTTGGTGTAACTGTTTCACTCTCTTTTGCAATTTTTATTGGACAGTATTGTTTACTTTTCAGGTAAATATACAAGGTTCTGTGGAATCATATATGGTTCTCTGGAATAATTGCATGCATGCTCCTCCCTATATTTCAGCAGTAAATAAAGGTAGCCTAATATGTATTTTATTCATAAATTTGTAAAGTGCCTTGGTTCCTTCTAGAATTATTCTTTTAAAATACTTTTTAAGCTTGGAGATTCTGTAGATATCTTATCTCAACAATTAAATACATAAAATCACTTTTTCACAGTCCTTACCTGCCTTATTCAGCAGCATAAAATTCTGGTTCTCTTGCCAGAAAATCAGAGAGATGTAAAAAGCTATTTAAACTGTATATACATTTTGATTGCATCAGTAAGAGCAAAGCAGTAATTTCTTTATGTTTTAGATGATTAAATGTTCCCACTGTTTGCTGTTTGGCAAGAATGTGTGTTCACCAATTCCACACAACACTGCAGTCTGGGATGTTCAGCCTGATGAAATAGTAAGAAGCACTCATTAGGCGGAGCTTAGACCATTTTTGAGACCTCTATTGATAGCTTAGTATGCTTGACAAGCAGCAGTAGCAGGCCCCACCCATCCTTATTATTCTGATTAGAAAGCAATATTGGTGCAGGCACTTACTATATGGTGCATTTGTTATGAATGCTAAGGGAATAACAATAGAACCTCAAAACCCAAATATGAAAACATTCCAGGTTACTCAGAGGCAGGAGTGTGTTAAACACAATACAGAAAATTAGAGATACTCCCAGAGATCTTCTACTAGCTCAGTGGATTGCTCAGCCCCAGGTTGGGTCATTATAGTGCTGTAATGGCATATGCAACCTTCCCTCAGTTTTATTGCTACAGGCTCAGTTTTAAAGACCTCAGAGATTTCCACCAGCTGAAACAAGTACACAGTTTAGAAATATATTTTTCACAGATGCACATGCTATTCTCCCTTTCAGAAGACAGCAATTACAGGAGGATAAATTATAGTATTTTGCATGTAATTTTAGTATATATGAGACTGACATGAAAATGAAATTCCATTAGTTTCCTCCTCCCCCCAAACAGAAAATAAAACTAAATCTTAGTAAGTAGTTACAGTAGGATGTAAACTTGAGATTAAATGAATCTATCTCAAGTATAAAATTTTTATATTCACATGAATTTCCACATGGTATTCCCTTGTTATCTTTGGGCTTTATTGCCACCTCACATTTGATTGCAACTGTTTCTATGAGAAAAACTACTTACTTTCCCTATACACATGTTCTTTAAATAGCAATAAACTGGCTTGTCGAGCTGATTTGAGGGCACCATTGCAGCTGCTTTTCCTTTTTTTCCCCTCATTCTTTCCGTGCTTAAAGGAAGACATATGTATTCCATATGAAAGTCTGTTCAATTCTTGGCAACTGGGAGAATAGGTACCTCATTATTTACTGGAATGAAACCAACAAATTCTAAAGACAGTCAAGACCTACATTTATCCTATCCAACATCAGGAGCTTAACTGAGGTGCTTAGTTTGGGAGATTAATCATCCCAGATATACTTCTATTATCAAAGAGAAAAAGAAGCAAATCTAGAGGATGAATGTGTAGGATGAATCCATACCTTGGTTTTCAATATGAATTTTTCTCTCTTCTCTTCTGAAAAGGTTAAATCCATTCAAGCCCTTAGAAAGCCTTTGGATAGAAACTTCATTGCAGCCTTTGTACATGTAAAACAGCTGTAAAACACTGAACCATAAAACAGGTCAACTTCAACAAAACAGTGTATTTCATCAACAGAAATATTTTTCTTGAATATGTTCTAGCAGCTATAACAGATGTATTAGTTTTTATATTTCCAAATTCAAGATGAGTACATAAAGTTGGTTTCTTTCCTTCTCATGCAATATCACTGGAAATAAAATCCGTTGGCCAAAATTATAATGTATTCTGCATCATTTCATGAAGCCAGAAGCATTTTGTCATGTTTATCTTAACCAACCTTAGCAAACTTTATCACCGAACGATTTGTCATCTCTTAACAGATGAGGAGGAGAACGCTGGTGGCACTGGAGAAAACATGGCAGGGAGCAACACAGGAAATCAGTGTTTGTTCTTCATCACTTTTATTCTTACTTTGATCATCAGTTTGGCACTTGTTTCATTTGTAATATTCTTAATAAGTAAGTAAACCAAAGACTGGTTCCTAAAAATGTAGGGCCAATGGGAAAAAGAACTTCGATGATACATGTCATGCCACCTTATGACATGCTACTGCTGTATTTGCACGGTCAAAGGCTTTGGCTGCTTATGGGCAGTGGGTCCTGGTCCTGGGGGCAGAAGCACAGGCAAACAACTCACTCTCTGAGCTAAAAGGCACAATTTTATTCTTCAACAGCTGTGAAGAATTTAGATCAGGAGGCTTATACTGTGTTGCTAAAAATGCTGACTGGAAATGAAATTTAAATTTAAAGGTGATTGTATGGCAGTGAGGTACTTTGACAATGTGCCTTTCACTCCTTTACAGATAAAACTCAGTATTGGTGTCATTCCACTGAAACTGGAATTACACTCAGAGTAACACTTAAATCAGGCTACCTGAAGGAGGACCTGAGGGTTGTCATCTAAGTACTGATTGGAAGTTTGTTTTGAACTAAGAAAATCTCAAAAATAAGGAAAAAAAAATTAGATAACATATATGAAGATTTGCGTGTAGAATTGAGCCTGTAGACATCATTACTGTTCCACTTTGTTAAGACTGATCAGGTGGGCTTAGCGAAACACATGGCTGCAAGTGAATATGGTTTATGGAACCCTTGTCATCATGGGGCTTTCTGAGTAATAGTATTGAACAGAATATGAGGTACATTATTTTAATTTAAAAGTCTATTTTGTATGAATTGGAATCCATGCAAAATCAAGATTTCTTATATCCTGTAGTGGGGAATTTACTGGAACACAGCAAAAATCTTAATTTTCCTTTTTGAACAGGAAATTCTAACGCTAACTAAATTTTCTTACAGGCACTCAAAGAATGGACTATAAGACAAGTAAAGAACGCAAAGTAGATTTTAAGTGACGTGATTGTAAAATCCTAACTGAAATACCTTATACTTGAATTTTTGATTTATTTAATAGGGAGCTACCTGAAGTAGAGCCCTGGTATAGAAAAATGAGTAATGTGCTACTCTAGTAAAAGAATGATAAAGTAACAGTGAAAAGCCTTCTTACAGGAATTAAAGCACTTTGCTTGGGCTCAGGTTGGTGGAGGCCTGTGGTTTTTGAAACTGATTTCCAGTGGTGTTTCAGTTTATATATGTTATGTTGTATAATCTGAGATTATGTTTGCAATCCACATACATAGATTCATTTAGTGTTGACACTATTAGACTTAAGCTTCAAAACCCATGGGTAAATTCTGTTAACTTCAGAAGGCCAAAACAAAAATAGCTCTGGCACATTTGTTTGCTAGAGGAGGCTGGCCTCCAAATGCCAATCCTTGCAAGAATTTTCCTTTAATTTAAAAGATTAAGAAATCCAGTGATGTGGCTGTAGTTTGCTTTGCTTTTTTTTTTTTTTTTTTGCTCCTGTGATACAATTAGTGCCGTAATTGTACTTTTAGAGAACTACATGCACATACTGACCACAAATAGGATCTTGGAGCTCCTAAATAAGGCATTTTCCTGGGGAAACTAATGGAATAGATATGCTCCTGAAGACTGCAGAATTATCTGAGCCATAGTTTATTTTATTACACTGCACTAAAGTGAAAAAAACCCCAAAACAGAAAATAAACAATTAAAGAATGTAGTGAGCAGGTAAACCTATCAAATGTATAACTTCTTATCATTAGGTTCTGCAGTTGTTTTCCTGGTTAATATTTTTGTTCACCATAATTCCCTACAAACTCTCACAGGAATGCAAGTGAGGGTAGTGATGCTCTTGACTTAAATGTTACCAATTTAATGTGGTACATTTTCCTTTTCAAGTTCAAACTAGAAACAAGATGGACCAAATATCAAGCAGACTACTATCTGAAAAGAAGAACATAGAAGAGCTGAAGAGAATTAACAATATTTTATTAAAGCATCTAAATCAATCAGGAATTAAGGCTAAGTCTTCTGATCTCCATGATTACCTATTAACCCACGCTGAACTCAAAGTCCCTGGAGAATAGATTTTCTTTGGAATGAAATTTAGCATATTCATGACTCAGATATTTTTACATATGTCACACAGGTTGCTTAAGCATTCTGATATGGTCACCGGAGCATTGGAAAAGCCAACTGAATGAAAAATATTAGAAAATAATATTTTATCCTGGTTTATTTGGACGTAGATTTTTAAAACTAAGCCCATAGGAGTCACAATAAACAACAGATTGTCAACAATTTGGGGCAAGAGTTCTGGATTCCTTGTGTATTGTAAATTGCAGGGGTAAGGGCCTAGTTTTACTTTAAATGTAAGTGAATGATTACAGAAAATCATGATTTCTGTTCACATGATTCCAGCATGACCTTGTTCACTTAATCATTCTCCTGTTTCTTTGGTACAAGTTCTGTGTTTATTTTAATATTATTTGTATTTAAGGATAACTTTGGATTTCATAACTTATAAATAAATTCATTTCTGCCATAGAGCTCCGTGGTTTTCCTTTCTGTCCATTTGAATACACTGACTTACTACTCTTTTTGTGGAAAACCTCTAAACTGGAATAATAACAAACCCTTTCATAACGTGCCATATTCAGCCCAAAATTGACTGAGTGGGTGTCCTATTGTCTTACATGAAAAATGGGTTTAGAGGACTCAGTCTGTTAATTTCATAACAGAATCATAGCAAACCCATCTCATAGCAATGCTAATATGCTGTACTTGCAATCTGAGGGAAGTTTCTGGGTGAAGGCCAAGTGTTTTTATGAAGTTATGTGGGGAAAATGCTACATGTTCTTGTATTCTTCCCTATACTTGCTGTTGGCTACTATCAGAGAATGGCCAGGTGAAATATGGTCGGAACCTTCATGGTTTTAAAGTGGAGCAATACCTCAGAGGGTGAAAGGAGCCGACACTTTCTCACTCTGAATTTACACAGTTGTGGAGACCAACATCTGAAAGTGTGAACCCATAAGAGACTGGTGCTTTGTCATTTTAGTATTCAGAACCTGCTACTGGAACATACATTATGAAGGCATCTCCAATATCAATAAATAAATTGGTTACTCCCATCATGACGGTGTGATGGCAGCTGACACTATGGAATATGTCCAACATCTTTTCTTTTAGTTTGAGTTCTTCTTCTCATCCAACTCTTTCTTATCTCTTCTGGACAATTTTACAAAAAAATTCACCGAAGTCAACAGCTTGCACTGCAGTCTCCTTTTCCAGAATGAATGACAGTCCTTTCTGTGATGACTATTTCATTGTCTACAACAGAGTGAAGTACTCAGTCCAGGAGACATTCGTGGTATCACTCTACTTGGATTTGCCCAGCAATTCTTTTCCTTTTACTAGGAGGGCTTTGCTTTACACCTATGTTTCACATCATCTTCTTTCATTTTCCTGATGTATTACTGTCAAATTATTCACATGAAAACCATGAAGTTCCATTTTAAGAGTTTATTACTCCTGCTTTTAATTCACAGCTGTAGTTGTAATTATCTCCTCTAGGTGCCTCAAACAGTTTTTATAAAGATGACTCAAATATAGCTACCAGGGAATGATAAAAATGATGTAGAAAAGTTGTAAGGAATATCTTTCTGTACATGCTGTTAAATGACAAAAGAAACACTATCTTAAGACTAAAAACATGACACTTGTAGTGTTGCTTCTCTGTTCTTCTCTGAGCTGTCACCTGCTTTTTAGTGACAGTACTAAGTTCTCATCTCTCCCACTCACGTTGTAGCTACTGCAACTGCTCTCAAGTTCCTGCCTTGTACAGAGGAATTGATAGAACATTCACCCCCCTCCACCCATCTCTTTAAATCGTAGTATTCTTGTTAATCTGTCAGGAAAATAAGAACATTAACATGTAATGGACCAAATGTGCCTTTTGGTACAGATATGCACACATATCTGTACCTGTGAGCCAGGGAGAAACAACTCCAGTATTTGGCACTCAGTGGCAATCTCAAACACATGGATTTCACCCTCATTTCCACTGCAGCTATCAGAGCAGTCTGTGTGGTCAAACAGAAACTGATACCAAGAGCCAATAGATTCTTTTTCTGGCAGGAGACTGTGAATAAAACGTGTCCTAGAGCAACAGCCCCCCAAGAAATGAAAGTTTCCTCATCTCTCTGATCTTGTCCTCAATTACTCTTAACATGGTTGTTCAATCAGTACTCATAATAAATCCACTTTTTCTGTCTCTGTTATTGATTAAAAGTGTTGGGGTTTTTTTCACTCCATGGTTTGATCCTCCAAGATGCTGAGTGCCCTCAACTGTGACCAGCTGGGGCATAACAATGTACAGGCATGCTCAGTATCGTACAGGACTGACACCCCAGATAAACCTTTTCATATTTAATTGCTTCTTTGCTTGCAGTGATCAGCAAGTGAGATCAGTGACAGAAAAAGTGCAAAGGTCCAAGGCTCATCCTGTTAGTGCTGCTGAAACACAGTTGTTGTTGGATACACTTGCAGTCAAGGAAGACATGGGGCAGCACTGCTTACAGCTGCTTATGGCTTCTCAGATCAAGTAACCAATACCCATTCACAGTCAGAACTGCTTCTATATGAGGGTTCAGATGGCTGTCTTGACAGCAGAGTACCACAATCCCTCCATCAACACTTTCTGGAGTACCCCCTAAGCGGAAACAAGTAGTGGCTCCTTTAGGGGAACATTTCTTTCTAATCTACTAGCAGTGAAGTAGTCCCAAACAAACCAATACTGGACCTTTAAAATTTTTTACAAACTTGACCCTGAAGTGAATTACAGCTCATTCTAGAGCCCCATAATTCATCTTGAATAAACAGCTAAGTGACTAGTGAACTCCAAGCTCCAACTGCATAACCACTGTGCTGTATATGGATGTTACAATGTCTCCTGCAGACATGGGTAAGATCTCTGTTCTTGTATGGCTGCACATCTCAAGAACCTTTGCCATGTCTGGTATTACAACCACGAACAGGAGGAAGATGATCTGACAGTAACAGCTTCATCTTACAATAATCACAATTGTTGTCCTCGATAGTACTGCTTCTTTCCTTTTTCTCTTATTTGCAGCCTGTAGAGGTATCTACACAGAGTGATTTGCCTTTTAGTATTTCTCTTAGTCCACTGCAAATGAAAAGGGTGCACAGAGGATTCAGATAGATTTAATAATGTGCCACTGACACTCGTGTGCTGCAAGTACTATCACTGCTGAAATGACAACATGGTTTCAGGAAATTTTCTGCTGAATAAACCTGGACAGTAGTAGAGAAATGCTGGTAAGCAAAGATAAACACTTAGAAGACTTAACCAAGAAAATACCTCCAGCTTCCATCAAAAGCATCATCATGGCAGTCCCTGAAGTGTTGGCTGAATCTTTAAGTGGCTGGGTAGCATCAACAGAAAAAATACTTTCTTCCCCTGGTTAGCTTGCTGAGAAATTCATTCCTTTGTTCCAGGCATCCACAACAGTCCACGTTCTTGTTAACCTCAAACCATCAGACAGTATCTGACTATGTGAAACTAAGTGTGGGGAGACTATACAGTACTAAATAGGAGAGGGTTGGCTAGTGCAGACATTTGCTTGCCTTCCTTGGGGTCATGTTACCTTAGATTGCAGCCTTGTGCCAGTGGGATTAAGAGGAACATTCTTTTCAATTAAGGAAAAAAAGGCACATTTTGTCCATTACATGTTAATGTTCTTATTTTCCTGACAGATTAACAAGAATGCTACGATTTAAAGAGAGGGGTGGAGGGAGAGTGAACGTTCTATCAATTCCTCTGAGATTCATGAGAAATAGTAACACTAAGGCCAAAGAAGTTAGTCCTATTCAAGAACTCAATCAATCTTAGAATTCAAGAAAAGGCTTTTACAGACTCTGTTTCCGATCCTTTTTCTGGTTTCTGGGCCGCACTTCAGCAATCAAAATGCTATCCACGATTCACTGACGAGCCAGCAAAACCTCTGAATGGTAATGAGAACTTTCTAGTAGAAACAGTCACAGCACAGTGCTGCTGCTAATTTATCACTTTGAGGCAAACCACATTACACACAACGGTGAAAGGACAATTTAAAAATCGATTGCCTGACAATTTCAATATCTATTAATAATTACGGGTTTGCTTTTTGAGCTCTGCACTGCTCATTTAATCTTAATATCTTCTTCACTATATAACCGACTTTGGAAAACAGTGTTTGTCTACAAGGTGATATAAAACGTTTAAACTCACAGACACCCTTTGCTCTTATGCAAAAGCTCATGGATAATTCATTAACTTCCCATTTTTAGGGTATTCTTTTTTTAAAAGCTTTAGTTTTTTTCTTAAAGCAACACTGAAGCATTTTCTTCAGAAGACTTCTCTCTGAGTACTCAAAATTATATGGGTGGAAATTATATTCACCAGGAGTGAATATAATTATATTTCACCTGGTGAAAATTATATTCACCAGGAGCTGTAGCGATAGGATGTTCTGGGTTACACAGAAATTCTGGTATCCACCTTTTCTTTTCCCCAAATATGCCTTTTTGGTGTTTTGGTGCCTTGCCGCCTTTAGAGAGACTGAATGCTAGTGATTAATGACTCAAACTTTGGACCACCTGCAGTGACAGCCCAGGGGCTGTAAGAGACTGGGCTATTGGTGCTGATGGGTCAATCAGCAGTGTGCTTTGTAACAATGTGCAGAGTGGACACCAGGCCAGGGGCTGCAGGTGTGCACATTTGACACCTCAGGCTACAAGCTGGGTGTTAAACAAGTTAAGGAAAGGGGCAAACCCTGCAAGATGGGGTAGTGTTTCTTTTTTCTTACACAGATGATTCAGTTGTGGTAATTCTCTGGGACAGTCACACTAAGCCTGAAGGTTCATCTCTTATTGATGTTCTGTTTAATATCTATCAATAATTTAGATGAGGGGATTCAGTCCATCATCAGCAAATTTGCAGATGACACAAAGTTGGGGGGGAGTGTCGATCAGCTGGAAGGCAGGAGGGCTGTGTAGAGGGACCTGGACAGACTGGAGAGTTGGGCTGATTCCAACGAGATGAGGTTCAACAAGGCCAAGTGCTGGGTCCTGCACTTTGGCCACAACAACCCCGTGCAGCGGGGACAGAGTGGCTGGAGAGCAGCCAGGCAGAAAGGGTTTGGATTGGCAGGAATCCGAACATGAGCCAGCAGTGTGCCCAGGTGGCCAAGAAGGCCAATGGCATCCTGGCCTGGATCAGGAACAGTGTGGCCAGCAGG